TTGACAGATGTTGATGGCTCCATCATATGGGAGACTAACACCACCTCCACTGATGTTGGAAGAGCAGAGCTTCTAGACACTGGTAACCTTGTTCTTAAAGGCCCTGGTGGTAAGATTCTATGGCAAAGCTTTGATTTTCCTACTGATACACTTCTTCCAAACCAGGTATTTACAAAGAGGACAAAGCTGGTTGCTAGATTGCATAGCGGTTCTTATGCCTCTGGATATTTTAGTTTCTTTTTTGATAATGATAATGTGCTGAGGTTGATATATGATGGTCCTGATATTTCAAGCATATACTGGCCTCGTCCTGATTTTAATCCATTCGGAAATGGTAGAACAAATTATAATAGCAGCAGAACTGCAGTTTTTGATGAAATGGGCCATTTTATATCTAGTGATCAGCTCCAGTTCAGTGCTCCTGACACGGGTTTATTAAGGATCAAAAGGAGGCTAACAATGGACCATGATGGGAATCTCAGGCTTTATAGCCTGAACAATGAAACTGGATTGTGGGTGATATCATGGCAAGCTCTTTCTCAGCTTTGTAATGTTCATGGAATTTGTGGGATAAACTCGATTTGTGTAAATACACCAGACCCCAAGTGTTCATGCCCACCTGGCTATGAGATCACTGAGCCTGGTAATTGGAATAAAGGCTGCAAGCCTATGTTCAACAGCACTCTTTCACAGTCTCAGCAAGTGAAGTTTGTGCTGTTGCCCCATGTAGATTACTGGGGATTTGATCTTAATTACAGTGCATCCACTACATTTGACTCCTGCATGAAGCTCTGCTTGGGGGATTATCGGTGTAAAGCATTTAGCTATAGGCTAGATGGGGGACAACTTTGCTACACAAAAGGCGTGCTTTTCAACGGTTACCAGTCTCCAAGTTTTCCAGGCAATATATATCTGAGATTGCCAGTGAGTTTTGAGACATCTCAACTGGGTATTCTTAATGGCACTGACCTCATTTGCCAGTCTGCAGAATCAGAAACAACGATCGGTTCTCTTTCTATGTATAACTTCAACAATAAGAGGACCAGATGGGTTTATTTCTACTCATTTGCTTCTGCCATTGGATTTATTGAAATTCTCTTTGTAGTTTCAGGTTGGTGGTTTCTTTTCAGAAAGCGTGGTTTGCCAAATTTGGCGGAAGACGGATATCATGTGGTATTAAGTCCATTTAGGAGGTTTACTTACACTGAGCTCAAGAAGGCGACGAACAACTTCAAGGAAGAGCTGGGAAGGGGAGGTTCTGGAGCCGTATATAAGGGCATTTTGACAGATGAAAGGGTTGTAGCTGTGAAGAGACTGGAAAACATGTACCAAGGGGAAGATGTATTTTGGGCAGAAGTGAGCACAATTGGAAAAATCAATCACATGAACCTGGTGAGAATGTGGGGATTCTGTTCAGAGGGCAAACACAGACTCCTAGTCTATGAGTACATGGAATATCAATCACTGGACAAGCATCTATTCTCTCCAACGTTTCTTGAATGGAAAGACAGGTTTAAAGCGGCCTTAGGGATAGCTAAGGGTTTGGCTTATCTTCATCACGAGTGTTTAGAATGGGTTATACATTGTGATGTGAAGCCAGGAAATATTCTTTTGGACAGTGAATTTGAACCCAAGATTGCAGATTTTGGGCTTGCCAAGTTGTCTCAGAGGGGTGGTAATAGCTCTGACTTCTCTCAGATTCGAGGAACCAAGGGTTACATGGCTCCAGAGTGGGCTACAAATCTTCCTATCACTGCAAAAGTTGATGTTTATAGTTATGGAGTTGTGGTTCTAGAGATAGTGAAAGGAATCCCACTCTCAAATTGGGTCATAGAGGGCAGGGAAGAGCATGATGAATCAGATCTAACAAGGTTTGTCAGGGTGGTGAAAAGGAAAATTCAGTGCGGAGAGACCTCTTGGATAGAAGAAATAGTGGATCCAAGATTGAATGGTCAGTTTAGCAGGAGCCAAGCAAAAACGATTGTTGAACTTGGCATGTCTTGTGTAGAGGAAGATAGAAACAAGAGACCAACAATGGATTCAGTAGTCCAAGCCCTATTAGAATGTCAAGATGAATCTTAAACCCAGCTTTTGGACAGTCGGTAATTGCTTCAAATTGTAATTTGTTAAGCAGTTTCCTTTTGGAGTTTTGGCTCTAAAGTGATTTTTTGCTTCTGTCATCGAATAACATTCATGTCGTTAAAATTCTACCGTGCCGTATTCCCTACAGCATCACACTTGACATGATTTAGTTTGAAAATGTCAACCTGAAATTGCTATGATTTTCTGTTAAATTTGAAAATGTCTCAACCGGAAATAAACAAAATGGTTTAGTACTCACTGACGGAGTTCGGGCTGGTGCTTGCTTGAGGCAACCGTGGCTTTAGCTCTGCGTCGAACCTAAAAGAAAGAAAAGAAGGAAAAAACACAGCGCAGCTGCGGCTACCTTGGTAAAGGAAAATATTAGTATATTTCTCACTTCCCACAAGATGAGTGAACAAACAAAATGATATTTATCCTCTTGCCACAGCAACCTCTAATTCCACATTGGTGCAGCAAAGTTTTTTTTAATAATATCATCAAAATCATCTAGCTTTGGAATGAGAAGATCAAACGCCACCAAAAAAAAAAAAAGACAATCAAAATATCAAATGCTTCTCAGGTTCAATTAGAGAATGGGTTTTCCACAGTATTGTAAGTGACAATGAAGATTAGTAGTTAGTTTTATCCAGAAAAGCACGAGAAAGCAAACTGTGGATTCCATAATAACACATCTCTAATTAGGATTTGGAGGATGTTACATGATACCAAATGACTTGTATACATCTTATCATTGCATGTCTTCTCTTATTGGACCTGTTTTAGTATTTTACATGTAATAATCCAATAAATGTTTTGAAAGTAAATAAATAATATATTTGCATTTGAACGACCATGGTACCCAGTGACCTACCCGTTACTGAACTAGTGAACCTTAGGCCCTTGGCTAGGTCAAGGTTGAGCTGGGTTTGATAATCCAACTCACCCAAAGGACCAAAACAGGCAAAACCATATTTTCAGGCCTTGAAATGTCAAACTCAATAGTCTAGTTTAGTCCCCATACATTAATTTATGATCTTCAAGTCAGTCCTCAAACTTGCAAAACTTGCAATCACAACAACATTTGAGGGATGGTCAATTGCAAAGATCTTGTACATATTACAAACCATCAGTGTATTCAATTTTCCATGATTGGAAGTGAGTTTGGAGGTTTGAAGACTGAATTGAAATATGTGCGCACGCTTTGTGTATATAGAAGCTAAATGATGTTATTCGCTCCAGCACCAGATGGCAAAGACATCAGTGATCATATACAATCTAATTGAAAAACACAAAGACAATCACAGGCTAAAGAAATAATGTTTTCAGAACATTAATTTCAACAATTTACTTTGTTTTTGCCTTTTAGTTAGTCATTTAACATATTTACAGCACATAATTTTGTTGCGATCAGAAAGTGACACTAATATAGAAAGTGACTTAAAAGTGCCTTACCTGATTTCTTATTTTTCTTGGATGAAGCATTTCTAAGCTTCTTGTTCTGCCCTTTCCCTGCCTCAACAAAGATATGATTGTACTTCTCTAATACCCTTTCCTTTTCTTCAAGTAAGCCTAGCATCTCATATGAATCTGCCACTTTTTGCACTATGGATTTTTCTGGAGGTTGACGATCAAAAGCTTCCAGCCCTTTGAAAAGCTTTGCATCCAATTACAACAACAAAGCCAGGTTAATCCAACGTTTAGAAGCGGTCAGTTCAAACAATTTATGAAAAAAGAAAAATGCTAATCTAAGATCAACCTATAACCAACTAAAAAAAGACAACACATGACAAATCTAAGGAATGCATAAATACAGTGATTTAATAGCACTGAATGGCAAGACAGATATTCCTTTCTCAAAGATAAACAACAACATGAGATGAATTTTGTAGCATTTTTTCTCCTCCTTCCACATACTTTTTAACCAAGGATAAGATCTTCCACATCCTCCAATTCATTAAATGTTAATGTCCAACAAAGTCTGTTCACTTTAAGCTACAAATCAGTAAAGTTTTGCTATATTCTTGGGATAGAATAGAACAAATATCACACTCTACAATGATGGAGCTTTTCAGTGACTTCAAAACAACATCTTAAGTTTTGTTCTATTTCCTTCCTTAAGTTTAGTTGTACGTACAAGGAGTTGATAAGTAAAAACATAATGGTTTTGTGTATGAGCAACTCTCTACTGTTTTCATTCATGTTCCAATGCAGCTACCTCTACAATGATGGACCTTTTCAGTGTCCTTTACTGGAAAATAATGTGTACAGAGAATATTCAAATTGTTTTTCTAGCATTAGATTATGAATTTATTGAAAACCACAATTTCCTACAGAACAATGGCAAAAGTATGGTATGCAGATTGTGAATGATAATTGCCCAGTAAACATATTAAACTCATTACACACATCTGATTTTCCATGTCAAGAAGCATGTGGCATGCTGCAAACCAAACCTTTATGAGATTCTCTAGCATGTTGTTTCTGTAGTATATAGATATCATGCGATTACATAGCTGCCATGGCACGGAATGAAGATCTCTACCAATTTTCTTCAACCAAAACTCATGTGCTTCTTTTGCTCTGTGGTCCATATCTAATGCTCGTATAAACTGCGAATAAGTTCCCATTGTAGTTCCCTGCCCCTTGCTGAGCATCCATTTAATAACCTTTAGAGATTAATAAAATATGAACAGATCAAATAATGCATAATGCTAAACAATAACATTAATAAGTAGCATAACAAAGAATATTAAAACATAGTAGCATAACAAAGAATATTTTAACAAGAACATAAAAACATCACTCATGAACATGTTGAAAGCCAGGTTGACAAAATTACTTTACACTTTGATGTTGTCAAGCTAAAAAAATATAAGGCAGGTAGTCACTATAGCTCATGGGTTCATGGGTAGCTAAGGCGGGTCTTGGTAGTGTGCATAAGACTAAAATTACCAACATAAAAAAGAAAATAAACCAAACTGTATCCAACATTCTCTAATGACACTAAATGATAACTACTCACTAAGAGCTGAAAGCAGACTTTTGCAAAACTATATTAGGAGTTTCCCACAACACATTCACAAATATCTTTAGAAAAGAAAACATAAAGCAGCTTATTAATTAGCAAAAAACCAACTGCAGCTATCCTCATGCACTAATGCAAGGAAGGTCTCCAATATCTCCTGATTATACTTCCATGATTATACTTCCAATTCTTTGGCCTCTTCCACTTCTCAATATGTTTCTTCATAAATCTTCTACATTATCCTTGCAGACCCCAAGTGTTTTTGTGTCACCTAAGAAATACATCCATAGAGCCAAGGTGGCCCAATGTAAAGACCTTTATCTAAGCTGTAGTACTCAAAGGAAAAAAAATACTCGTAAATCCAGGTTAATCTCTTAAACCCACAATCTAATAAGTTCTAGACCCGAGTTCAACCAGGAAGTTTAACACCCAACCAATTAAATATTAAAAGATAAAGTCAAGCACAAAAGAAAGGTTTATTAATATCTTGTTAAGAGCTATTGAGCAGATATATAAATTTAATGAGAGTTTATTTATGTGGATAGATTAATGGAAGTTAAATGATGAATACCTTACTTAGTGGAATTTGCAAAAACAATTTCTATTTTAACGCTTTGATTACTATGGACTAGTAATAAGCTGGTTGGGGGGTGTGATTAGTACTTAAAAGTGCATTTTTATCATGGTTTTATATCATCATTTTCCACTTGAAGTATCAATAATTCCTTAACTAAAGCATGTTTTATAATAATATATCTAATAACATAAGATACCTTTAATTTATGGTAAATGTTCATTTTAAATGTAGGTCTATCACATAAATGAAAGGATTGATTGATAACTTTAAGAACTTAAATTGCAAGTGCAAAGAGATGACCAAAATTAGAAAAGAGATGTCGGTGCAATCCAAACTGGAACACTGTTCGGTAATTGGGTCATATCTGGAGCTATAGATCTCAGATTTAGGTCTACTTTATATGGATGGAAAGGTAAGACATAGGAGTACAATTTTTATATGGAGTTTAAGATCTAAAAAGGTCATTTTCAAGTCCAAATTGTAGCAATAATAAAGAAGTCTGAATATGTCCTTCAGCCTGAGCACTGTTCAGTATTTTGGCCATATCTAGAGTTCTAGAAGTCCAAATGAGCTGAAAGGTTTACACAAGAAAGCTGAGACAATTGCCTACAACTTTCATGTTTTTGAGTGGCTCCCATTTTGATGTTATCAATGACATTTTGGGTAGACAAGAGAATATAAGGATTGTCACCAAGTCAAGAGTTAGCCACTCACTCATCAATTAGTTATCAAATCAATAGTTCCCAATTTTGGCCTATAAAAGGAGACATTTGCCATGCATTTAGGCATCTTGGTCTCCAGATCAAGATCATGCTCTTGCTTTCTTTCTTTGTATTTTTTGTAACGTTTATGCTTTGTTTTCATTAATATCAAGTTTATGCCTTTCATTTCCTTTCATTTACTTAGTTAACTTTTATCTTATTTATGTTCTTATTTTGTTTATCTATTTTTATTTCTTTCATTATGTCTAGCTAAGTTTATTATATCAAGGTGAAAAAGGTGACACTAATGGTGTAAGAATAAGTATAGTGTAAACTTAATATGGACTTTAATGTTTGATACTAACATGTTTTATATTTGTTATCTTGTTCACTCTTTAATACTTTGTTTGTTAAATGACTAATCTTGATTTATGTTGTATAACAATTGGTACAACAAATGCTTGGCACTTTCATAGCCCATACTGTATGGTATAATCGACACCTGAGCTATGAAAGGAACTTGATTTGTTGTTAACATAAGTTATAATCATGAATGCTTGATGAAATTTACACGTATTAGCATTAATTGAATAAAATGACTAATGTAATCATGTTAACAATCTATAATCTGATTGGAACCTCCTTTGTGTGTGGTTTCCAATTGAATAATAAGAGTTTATATTATACTTGTTTGACATACCATTAGTGGATCCTCTAACCTTGACTTTTATTGTTATCGTTGTTAAATCTTTACGTTAATATTTCATCTCAAAGTTCTCATCTTCTTCTTTTTCTTTATTATTATTATTTGTATTGCTACTACTACTACTACTATTATTATTATTATTATTATTGATGTTATTACTATTATTGTTGTTGTTGTTATTGTATTATTGTTATTTATAATTTGTACAATTAACCTCCCTGTGGTTCGACCCCAGTCTTGTCGGGTTATTTATTACTTCGACACTCCTGCACTTGGGAGAGGACATCAATCTTTTAGTCGTGTTACATGACAAATGCCTTCTTTTATAGGTCAAAATTTAGAACTATTGATTTGATGACTAATTATTGAATGGGTGGCCACATCTTGACTTGGTGACAATCCTTATCTTCTTATATGAACAAAATATCATTGATAACATCAGAATTTGAATCAACCTTACCATAAAAGTTCTAGGAAATTGTCTTAGCTTTCTAGGAAAAAAAATTAAGGTCATTTGGACTTCTACGTTGTTGCTAAGATTTAGAATTCCAAATAGTAGAATTGAGTCTTGCTTTCCGCATGAAAGTTTTAGGCCTACATCTTAGCTTTCTATCTATATAAAGCATACCTCAATCCAAGTTCTATAACTCCAGTTATGATCCAATTACCAAACAGTATTACAGTTTGGACTAAACTAGTATCTCTTTTCTAAGCTTCATCCTCTCTTTGTCTTTTGAATTTCAGTACTTCAACTCATTAATCAATCCTTTCATTTATGTGATGGACTTGCATTTAGGATGAACATTTACCATAAATTAAAGGTATCTTATAGTATCAGACTTGTTATTATGAAACATGTTTTAATTAAGGAAATATTGATACTTCAAGTGCAAAATGATGATACAAAACATTGATAAAAATGCACTTTTAAGTACTAATCATCGATATCTACTATAAAGGCATATTTAGTTGGAATATTTCTATTGGTGTGTCCATTTTGTTTGTTAATTTTCTAATAGTGTTATATTATATTCTTTAAAATTTATAAAGTAGAATGTTTATGAAATAATTAAATATTTTAAAAAAATTGAAACTAAAACGAAACTAAATTGAATTTTCTCAAAAACAAATATATCTAAAATTATCCAAAAAAGCTTTGGAAACCCATTTCAACTCATCTGTTATGAATATTTTAAATAATTTAGGTAAACGATACTTCGAATTTATAATAAGTGGCACATAATTTTTTGAAGATATTAAAGAGTCACACCTCTTAATCTTGAAAGTGGTCGTGGAATTATTAACGAGGAAGGAATTTGGTTAATAATCTATTGTAAATAAAAGTTTTTAAAAGACCAAAACGATTACACTTCAATTATTTTCTCTTTTCTTTGTTCATAAACTTGTTATTAGATATTCTTTTGTAAGAACTTTAATATTGTTAATCTTTTTTTCTAATATTCATTTTAGTGAATCTTTGTAATATATTTCACTAGAACCCTTCAACAATCTCTTTTTAAATGGCATGATTTTATAACAATACATTTATAAAGGTGTTGTTATCTATTTTTGGGTTTCCAAACAAAAAATAAGAAAAACAAATCTAGAAAAATATTCAAAAAATCCAAAAAAAAATAGGAGCAAGAAAAAGATGTTGGAATGCCCATAAAATGGCTAGAATTGAAATGTAATAGTATATCTTTTATTGATAAGAGCCATTTTAACAAGGAAAATTTAATTTGAGGAAGAAAAGCCTAAAATCAGATATTTATGAACTTAATTAAATTTTATTGAAGGTTTAATTGAATTTATGAAGGGTTTGATTACAAGAAAAAAAAAATATTTTCAAGTTAATTTGGGCTTTATTGAGAAGAAATCAAAGTTCAAGGGTCCAATTATAATTTATCCAAGTACTTGATTATAAAATTTCAGAACTTGAGTGACGAAACTGAAAATGGTCATTTCACATCTTAAAACAACATCGTCACTGTTCATCACCTTTTTCATCACACTAGGGAAGTTGTTTCAACATGAAGAAGAAGAAACATTTAGCCTCAACTACTATAATGCAATAAGTTACTGAACTGAATGGTATTTATTCGACTATAAAGCTAGTGAAAAATGGACACCCCTGCCATCATCGATTGTTACCATTACTTCAATAATAACGGTCTTGAGTGTCTTTATTACCAAGGAAAATACATGCATTCTCTAGCTATAAAAACTAGAGAAAGGACCGCACACAGGAGGTGGGGAGAAGTTTTGAAAAGAAGGACGGACGCAAAAAGGAAAAGGAGTGGATAGAAATAAAAGGCATAAGAAAAAAAAAAAGAGAAAGACTAGGGGATGAGCAGAGGGGGGAGCGAAAGAAAAAAAAGACATAAAGAACAGGGGAGCTAAAGAAAAAAAAAGACATAGAGGTGAAGAGAGGAGAGAAGAAAGTGAAGAGAGTAGATAAATCCAGAGAGGGACGAACGTGTTGATGGGAGAAACCATTAGTGGTGGCTTTCAAACACTCAGAGGGGGATAAAACACACAATTTTATTTCAAAACAACAAGTTTACAAAATACAAATAAAAAACTCTTAACATACACCCTCTCTTTCTCTCTATTATTTCTCTCTTTTCTTTCTCATACATAATAGCATAACTTTAACAGCCTATTTATACAAAAATTAAAAGTAAGAAAATTCA